CCAAACAAACATCTTAAGGCCAATCTGTAAACAGGATCTAAAAAAATTAACCCCTTTTTTTGGGTGGGGAAAGGGATTTCCCCCGAGGGGAGGGGGGGAGGGCGGGGGGTTTTCTCCTTCCTTTTTCTGCAGGGGGGGGGGGGGGGGTCTGTGGGGGTTTTTTTCTCTTTTTGTATTTTTACCCCCAATTTGGGGGGTCGAAAAGGGGGAGAGGTGGGGGGGGGGTTTTTTTGGGGGGGGGGGGGGGGGTTTTTTTGGCCCTGTTTTGGCAGGAGGTCAGACTAGATGATCATAATGGTCCCTTCTGACCTTAATATCTATGAATCTATGAATCTAGGAGTTTCCTGGGCTCATCTTCCTGGCCCCACTGCCCACCTCCCCTCTTTTCCCCTGCTCGACTTATATCTGACCTAGTTCTCTCTGGATTCCCTTCAGAGAGGCACCTGAGAAAGATTCAGCCATCCCCCAAACCCTTGTTCTGGGGAGAAACAAAGTGAGTGTCAAAGCCTTGGGGTTGGGACCAAGTAAAGATGCTTCTTTCTGGCTGGTCTGTTTCAGTTTAATAACCCAAATCCTGTCCATGTGGCCAGTGGCTGAAAGTCCATTGGGGAGCTGCTCAGGGGGCTGTGTGAAATGCGCTGGGATCTCAGCCTGGTTCCCGGGGTGTAGACGTCTCCATCACACGCCGAGGTAACCAGCAAACTCTCCACTGATCGTGCCCCTCTGTGTGAGGCTCAGCAGAGAGGTCAGGGACTCAATGGACCGTGCAGACAGAGCTCCCCTCTCCCCTTTAGAGAGAGATTCATCCCAGGTCAAGGCAGAGGACCAATGGCCCAGGAAAGTGTATGTGAGGGGAACTGGTACTGGGACCCCTGCATTGTACAGGTAAGGGGTTACACAGAGTCTGCCAGCTCCCTTCTCTATTCCAGCTGCAGGAGGGGGCATCCTGGGACAGATTGAGGGGGCCTCGGAGAAGCAGCCACCTGGGCCCAGAACATGTAATGTAACCATGGTGGGAAAAGGGCAGTGACTGGAGCACCACTGGGGACCCGTCTGGTTACAAGGATGGCTCTGCAGAGGGATACAATGTTGCAACAAAATGCAATTTCCCTTCCTCGCTACTCTGAGTGAAGGCCACATGAAGATCATCCAAAATTCATCTCACCAAGCACAACCCTGCAGTGTCCTCCTTTCTGATGCACCCCACAGCGCCCTCCCCGCATTTCCCAACAGGGGGCGATTGTGAACATGAAACCCCCGCCAGAGCCCTGTACAACACAAACTTATTTCTTGTCCTCCAAGCAAGCCAAAGGAGGTTGGCCCTGCCCTGGAAGAGCCCAGCTAGCTTACAGATGGGGAAACTGAGGTACAGAGTCTGTGTCATTCACCGAGCCTGCCCATTCTCATCAGCCACCCCAGTCTCAGCTGATTCTGTGTTGTCAGCGCTGCATGTCTGCACCATGCACAGAGCGTGGCTGCTCCCACCCCAGTTCCAGCACCACGTGTCTCTGCCATGCACTAGGCATGACTGTTTGCAGCTCCCCCGCCCCAGTCCGTGCTATGTCCATGTCATGCTCCAACTCTGCACGTTCTCAGCGCTGTGTGTCTGCCATGCCCCAAGTTGGCCGGCTGTCAGCTCTCCCAGCCTGCTCGCACTGCTGTGTGCCTGGGACATGCACAGAGCCGACCTATTCTCAGCTACCTCCCCTGTCCGGCTGGGTGTCTAGGCCATGATCCAAGCCTGAATCAACTGCACCCTTGTTTCAGTGTTGTGCAGCTGGTCCATGCACCACTGGCCTGTGGGGCTACTTGAGCTGGTAGGTTCATTTCCAAAGGCCGCGGGGTTCAGTGATTGAGGTGTGGGTCTGCTGTATTTGACGGAGACCTGGCACGAAGGTGTACGTTTCTAATGGTGAGAGTAATTAAGCACTGGAGCAATTTGCCAAGGGGCGTGGCAGAGTCTCTGTCACTGACAAGTTTTAAATCAAGATTCAGAAAAAAAAAATCAAAACGATGCTCTAGGAATTATTTGGGGTAAGTGCCGTGGCCTGTGTGACACAGGAGACGAGGAAATCGGTCTAGAAGATCACAGTGGCCCCTTCTGGCCTCGGAATCCATGAAACATCGTCCCAGCTTTGTCTGAGTTCACCTTCTGCAGCCTCTTACCACATCTGCAAAGCACAGGTACCTCCCCCAGGGTGCGATGCCTCAGCCAAGACAAACTGCTGAGAAACCGCCGCAGAAGAGATTGAGTTCTTCTGCCTTCCAGCCCCGGGCCGGCTCCAGGGTGTGCTGGGAGTCTCCCTCACCCAGCCCTGGCCAGGATTCTGCTGGTATTCCAGCCTAGCTCAGTTTTGGAAACAGCTCGTGTTGGGAGGGGCTGCATCTCACGCACCCCTTGACCAAATGACTCCAGATTTGTACCCCTGACCCTTCCCTCTGCCCTCAGGTGGTGGATCAGGTTTCTAGCCCCTCAGACTGCGAATGTGAACTTAAAGAAAAAGGGATAATTTGGTTTGGGAAAGAAATGCTGCTGCAGCACCATGGTGCGGCCAGGTGCCAGCCCATAATATTACTGCAGTTGATAATGTGAGCTGGCTACTTTATTGCCAGTTTCCTTCTGTTCCTCGGCAGCTGGAAGTTGCCAACAGATTTCTTTCACAGCGAGGATGTTGTTGCTTCTTTTCTTGCCCGAGGAAAGCATCACTTGATGCTTTGATTTTATTTACTCTTTCCTCAAGCTTTGCTTTTAGAGCTTTCACTTAGAGTTACCCAGCTGCTTTTCTTCAAGCCCCTTCAAGGCATTTGCTGGTGGGTCTGTCTAGCCTTTCAGGGCAGAGCCGTACAGATCTAGTACCCTTGTGACAAAGTCCAAGACCAGAAGATTGAAATAAACTTTATTCTGTGAATTTACTCATCTGAATCTACAGCATCCAAATAACGAAACAGAGCAAAATAGGAGCATTGAGCTGGGGAATTGGAGGGAGAGGGAAACCCCACTATGGTTTTTATATTCAGAAGTAAAGAGCAGAGGACTTTGATGGATGACCTGAAATGAGTCAGAACTTAAGCCAGGTCTACGCTATAAACTTCCATGGGTAGAACCATATCGCTCAGGGCTGTGAAAAATCCACACCCCTCAGTGAACGCAGTCGTACCGACTGAACTCCTGGTGTAGACAGCGGTACATTGACGGGAGAGCTTCTCCCCTGGACATAGCTACCGCCTCTCAGAGGTGGATTAACTACACTGGTGGGAGAAGCTCTCCTGTCGGCATAGGAGCATCTTCACTTAAGCATTACAGCGGCGGAGCAGCACCGGTGCATTTGTTCTGCTGCAGTATTTTAAGTGTAGACCTGCTCTACCAGAGGCAGGCTCTGCTGTGACCCTGAGAGTGGCTCCTGGTGTCTGCTGGTTGGCCAGTTTTTGTGTGCCTGGAGGATCACAGAGTTACAGAGACAGGCATGTAAGAGGGTCGGGAAACTCCTGTCACCAGTATAATGCTAAGCAAGTCAGTCTTGTCCTCTCTCATCATTTTATTGTGAGTCTCGCAGCACTTGGTGTTTTTCTTAAAGTCCCGGCAGCTGGAGTAGGTAGATTGCAAGGCAACCTCAGATTATACTGCAGATACATTTCCTGCCTTCACGTTTGTGTAGCAAAGATTGAAAATCGGAAACAAGAACACCCCAAAAGCTGGGAAACCAGAAGGTAAAGAAAATGACACAATATTTAAAAAGATGTTGCAGCCAATCTCATGATTCTGGGGGGCCTGACACACTTTTTGAATGCTTCAGGCTGGCAAGACTGTGATTAGAATGGCAAAGTGTGATAGCTGTAATTTATATATTACCTATGTCTTTGTTCTACTTTAGACAGCTCATATTGAGTGATCCCTACTCCTCTGTCACAGGGATTAACAATATGTCGGCCAGTGAACACATAACGGTATGCTTACCAGTGAACTCAAATTCTACACGCCGGCTCCCAAAGAA